TAAACCTCGACCTTGGCAACTTGTTTTGTGTACTTTTGCAGGTCTAAATACATCTCATGACACCATCTTTCTGGCGGCATTCATTTTTAACTAAATACAACTATCTATATGCATTTATGCATTTCCTGCAATGAGGAATTGCAGGAATGGAATTGAACTTCGAGTCAGAATGGGCCAAGTTTTTTTTTTCATTCTGAGAAATCAAAAGGAATGGAATTGCGGCAAGTCTCAATTCCCCGGAATATAATTGGAATGTAATAGAGGCGCCTATTCTGCAACACTGCTAAGGAGCCAGTCTGTGCTCTCGGCCATGACACTGGTGACAGTGATGGTGGTCTAGGCTCTTATTATATTATAGTGAAAGCTGTTAAAAGATCCCAAAAAGAGCCGATTTTAGGCACCCTACTTATACGCCGCCGCCCATGCTGGTGTCCGTAACTACTACGCTATCACGACAAACAAGAAAAAAAAGCATGTACTTAGAAAAAAAATTCTAGAAATGTATGGGATTTGAACCTGAGGCCTCTTTGTGACAGTCGAGTATTCTACCACATAGACATGCTAGTTCTTGAAACTCCTTCTCAAAAACACTATACCGGTAGGGTTGACAGGCGGGCTAGTTGGTACAAATTCATAATGGAATAATTGGAAGCGCAAACCAACGGGACACAAGAGAGTTTGTCTCCTCTCTTGTGTCCCGTTGGTTTGCGCTTCCAATTATTCCATTATGAACTATACCAGTGTCATGTAGGGCCAGGAACTATATTACCATATGTAATATAGCGTCGTAGAAGAGTAACCAAGCATCACGTAGTGTTAATCGGGCAGCGAGTGGGTCGCTGAATGCTTCAAACCTACTATAAAATACTCAGCCATAATTAATCCTCATCAGCCACAGCCCAAAGTTGGCATAATGCCTTAGATATGTGTTGCGGGTACTTTGCTTATTCACAGAATAATGAATAGTGGCATATTGGGTACTTCTTTAATTACTGAAAGTTACGGTAGTGGGTACCTTGCATTGGGAGAATTAGAATTGGGATAATGGAGTAGTTACAAGTCAAACATTTAGTCAAAATTGTCCCTAAAATGGATTTGTATGAGCAGAATAAGTGGTGATGACAAACAACTCGACTGACCTCTTAAGCTACACCAGTCATGAACAGCGAAGTGACTAGTTTTCAGAACACAAGAAATGCGACTGTGAACACAAAGCAATCCCGCAATCAGTCTGGCCATGCTTAATTTCACACAGACTTCCTCGTCAGAGGGTAATTTGCTGGTTTTCTATCCGCACCCTTCGGCATGGCCAACTATAAAAGTGTCGAAAAAAGACGGTATGCATGTTTTATTTTTCAGAGAAAGGAACTGCTACCAACTGACACCAGTGACCCTAAAGCAACCCTAATACTCGTCCAGAAAAGCACCATTAGCGGGAAAATTCACAGCTCCAGCTTCCCAAAAGGTTGAAAGTGATAGAAGGTGGTATTTTCTACCACTTGAGAATTATTATTGGCAGTCTTAAATCATATTCACGGGCATAATTAAAGTGTCCTGTGCCAGCATTAGCCCCTTTTTTCCTATCTGGTGCATGGTTTAACAAAGTAAGTTTACAATGAATAAAACAGGGCTAAAAAGGGACAAGAAGAGACAGGCACGTGACTTTGTCTGTCTTCATATTCGTCTACTACCCAGTCCCAACCAGCCGAATCAAGCACACTGCTAAAGTAAATAAAGCATGTCAATGAAAATATCCGGCAAATCCTACAAATTAAGGGAATCGATTTTATGTAATGCAGTCGGTAAGTAAAAGCCCATGCAGCCTTTTCACTTTAAGCCAAGCATTGCAAATTAGATTGATGTTCGTGAAAAGTTAAAAAGAAGTCTGGTGTCTCCCGCTATTGATATATTCATAATGATATTGAGGTGTCAGTGCCTATGAAACTGAGATTCTATTACATTATTTAATTTCGGAGCCGGATTCTCTCTATGCACGCACAAGCACACAGGGTGGATCAGCTAACTTGGTCCAAGATTGCATTCTACGAAATATATATCTGTTGTATATTATATTCGTGTATGCTTACAAGTTGTATTTTTTTATGAGTAAGCTTCAATTACTTTGTTAATTGAATTACCAACTTGTTCCATGCTTGCTCTAATTGGCAAAATATTCACTAGGTTACAGCTCACCTCAAATGACCCCAGATTAAAACATTTGTTTTTAAATAAAATTTGCCTGTTTCTTTTTTAAATATACAAAAGCATACGAAACATGTGGAATAGGAAATAGACATGCTTGTGCGCCGCTACTCTAGCGCCTTCAAGCGGTCTTTAGTTGGCGTATGTATATATATATATATATATATATATATATATATATATATATATATATATATATATACACATACATACATATATATACCCCTACCAAAAGATGTTACGGGGAAGATTTATTCACCGAGAGCTGGTCTTGCTAACGGCTTAGAGAGCACACAGTCAAGCAGGCCAAAGGGAGAAGCTCGAGAGTTCAACCCACAACAACCACGTTGTCTTCTTCATTTGGGTGCCAATTCAGCTGTGTCGGGGCGACAGTTCCATACACGTATCAATATATATATATATATATATATATATATATATATATATATATATATATATATTATATATATATATATAATATATATATATATATATAGTATCATAAGTGCAACTCGGTCCCTACCCCGCTGGGAAAATAAGAATTCTTCGCCCATGATCGTAGTGATATGCACAGATTGACATAAACACCGTAATGCTTCATGCCTTTTTTTTTTTCGCCTTTATCATTTTTGTTGGCCGAGTGTCTTCGCAACTCGTAGTCCCTATCGATAATTGCATTGGAGCAACCGCGGGTTCGCTCGCAGCTATCGTGGCAAACTACGTTCGTTAGTAATCAACATACGCTGGCCACGAACGTCCTTTCAGAACTAGGTCGCTTTTTGCTATCAATGACTGCATCTGTCACAGTTTTGTCGTCATTGTTTGCAGAAACAAGCATCGCTTTGACTGAGTGGGCGTTGGACTCGCATATACTTTCGAAGATCCGTCAGTTCGTCGTCGCCATCAATGATCGCTATGAGAGTGACCACGATTTCTTTAGCCGTGCACGCCCTTCCAAAGCTTCCAGCACATTGCTCTTGGCAATTGCTACCACACAGCCATGCTTCTGCTTGACGGCCATTGCTCGACAATTCGGTACCAAATTTCGTATCACCCGGCGCAACGGGAGCCAGAATCGGATTGGGTTAAATTTTTGTTAATACGGCCAAATCAAGCACTGAAATTTCAATTTCTGGGAGATTTCCCAGCCATTGGCATTCAGTTTTTGCACAGTCCGAATTTACCTGATGTGTACATATTTTTATGCAAACTTTGCATGTTGTCTAGAGGAGGCTGTCATTCCACTACCCCAAAACATTTGAATAAAGCTTGCATAGAAAGCATTCTTACCTGCCTGCTACGTACCACTGGTGCATTATATTCAAATGATGTATGTATATAAGCACAATTCCCAAGCAATCGTGTTTAAGCAAGTGGGTAAGACACTCTGCTTTGGAGCAGGTAGCCTTTGGTTTAAAAGGCATGGGCCCCAACAAAACTTTTGTTTGACACTGCTACATTTCCTTATTTATAGCTTACGTGACAGACGGGTGCACACAATTTACTCACTGAGTCGACAGATATGCTAGTGTATTTAAAAGAATGCAGCACATCACTATGTGCACTGATTCTTCTAAATAAGCAAGTGTAATATACCATCAACACATACAGCCTTAAGAGAATGTAAACACAGTAACAGAGGCCAAATATTCGCCTTAATTGAAACACCACATTCGTGAGCTGTCTAAATACTGGGGGCATTCTTAAAGGGGCTGACAACAAATTTTTATGGTGAACGTTTTCTTTAGTGCAATGAATTATTTACTCATCACAGTGTCGTATTATGGACTCATGGGGCAGAAAACACTGTGAAACATTTATAATAACAAAATTTCACTCTCAGCTTTCGTATATACACAACAGACGCTGCGAACAGTGAGTATGACAGCGGTTCATGTCTGTGCACTTCGCACGCTGCTTTTTTGCATGAAATTTCTTTACATCACAAGAAGCACTGAATATGGAGCGGATAGATACAGTAATAGTGAGCAACACTTATGGCACACATAGAAGCATCATACTTGGTACAGCAAACAAAATGACTCAACAGTACAGGCTCTTCCACTACACTGCATGACATACTGTTTTTCTTGTCACCCTTAAACACAATTTAAAAACACAATGGTACTGAAATTGCAAAAAAGATGTTTGAATCTGTCACTCTATTTCATGGTATTTTGATTTCTACAAGGATCTGACCACATGTTCTGGCCAGTAGGCATGTTTTCACTGATAAGGAAGTTGCTGCCTTCCCTAAACATTGACCAGGGACAGACATCACAGTTTACATAAATATCCCAATGAAATCACATAAACGTTTATCTTCAGAATATCTGCAGCTTTCAAACAGCAAATTTGTTTAGAACAGTTGTCACATTCTTCCATCACTTAAGGCTCCTGTAAATGTTCTTGACCCATATTTTTTAATAGAAACAAATCCTTTCTGAAAGCCGATTCTCCACTGAAGTCTAAGCTGAGTAGCTGTCGAATCTGGACACTAAGAGTTCAAGCCACTTTCAACTTTTAACTTCTGGAATTGCACCAAGCCGCAATGTTCAAACCACTAGCTTGCAAAACATTTAGGTACACTGAATTCACTTGTCTGAAGTAGAAAAATGAATCAACGCTTACTACCCGAGCGATCGAGATCTTGTTCAACAACACTACCGCTCTTTTTTTTTTTTTTCTTTAGCAAGGCCAAATTGCGATCCTGTACACTCTGAATGCACGCTTCTTGGTCGCGTTTATCGCGAGTGCTTTTAGCATCAAAGTTAGGCACCAGTGACGAGTAGACTCACCGGTACTGATGCGTGAGGGCGCCCCCCTTGGATTTTGTTGTGGTGGCGAAACATATGCCATCGGTTTCACAAGTGTGATTGGGGCAGATATCACAATAGCACTTGAGGCCTGCAAATGAAAGCAAAAGGCGCACAGCATGGCGACGCCGTTCCCGGCTGGCATCGCAATATCATGCGTGCCGAAAAAATGCTAGCCATTTCTCCGGCTAGCAGTAGCCGGACTACGCGCTCGTAGCCTAACAAGCAACTTCAACACGGCAAGCACATTACACTTACCCAGACCCCCCTCCATGGCTTCGATTTCGAATCTCGAACGCTGTCTCCTGAATTCACTGACACTACATGTGACTGCTACGATCTCAAGCAACAGTATTTCCAAAGATGAAAAGGCATCGAGCGCCCACAGAAACAGCCTTCTTGCATCGATCCGTAACAGGCGATGCGCGCAGCGATGCGACTAGCGGGCTACCACCATGGAGTTTCCTAAAAGCATTTTTTTACAAACCAAACTCGCCATAGAAGACTGGCAGATCACGAGGCTAAAAATCCCTCAGATATCACCAGCTGTTGCAAATAATTTCACACGAAGCACGTGATTAGCAAGCAGCAACCAACATCATTTGTTTTGAGCTGGGAGCTCAAAACAAATGAATACGCTTGACAATTTTTTAGGGCGGTGGTGGCGCCGCGCCACGGAGGCGTGCCAAAACACAATTTTGTGACTTTCGCATAGACCGCAATGCATGGAGCCTGCTGGCGAGTGAGCCCACTACCCTCTTCTAGCTCACTTTAGCGTAGCTACAGTGAACTAAAAGACCTTCTAGAACACTGTAGCGTAGCAAAACCTGTCGGCGGCGGCGCACTGACCCCTCTGCGCAAACCTCTAGCCAACGTTTATAGATACTTTTCTTCAGTTTCGGAACTCTCCGCTTCGCTATGGTCCCTAGAATACAACATAATCTAGGGACCATAGCGTAGCTTCGCCTCGGGCAGCAGGCGGCCGGCTGCAGTTCCCGCCACCGCGGCGCTGCAGTCCAACTTAGCGCCAAGCATACGAGGGTCGTCTGCTACAGCTAGGCGCGGTGTAGCCGATGAGCAGCGTTTACACAACATTGCGACTTCTTGGTTTAGAAACGAGGACTATAACGTAAAGCCTAGAGTCGGGTGCGGCATCTTGCCTGGTCCTTGGTAAAAATAATAGTTCGCATAAGCATGGTGCTAGGCGAGCATTTGTCAATTAAAGAGCCGTATTGCCACCTTCTAACTTCTTGTTCTTCCAGGTAGTGAAAACAAAATTTAGAGCTCAATTGTATTAGCCACGTCTCACCCAAGCCCAGGTAAAAGCCGTGACTTATCTCGTTCCAGCTTAGTTGTTTAGAAGCTATTTGTGCGAGGCTTAGCATAGAGATCTACGACCTTACATTAACTTCGAGCAGCAATATAAGCACCTCGGCGGGCCGTACCCTAAAAAAAGTTGAAACCGAGTCATTGCTGTAAGGTATCAGCCACGTTTAAAACCCCGCTGAAATAACTCTATTTCTTTTCTTCAATTTTAAAGGCTGCCCGTAGGTAATTTTTTTATGAAATAATACACATACCTGTTTGCCGGCGCTATTTCTCTGTTCAGATATTATGCACCAATGCACTTTTTTCTTCTGAAGTATTCGGATTTATGGGTGTCTATTAGTGGATAATACTCAATTGGGATAATTAAAAATGCAAATTTTGTTTAAAAAATGGGAAAACGTCAGTGCATTAGCAAAAGAACACTTGTCACTGTCATACATTAGTAAAAAGCATTTGCATTTCAAACAAGTGCATCGCTGAATTCTTGTAGCAATTCAGCCTTGTGAGCAGCAAACAAAGCATGAGCCAATCTGTTGTGTACCTTTACCCATTCGGCGATTTTGATTGTTGCATGATAAATGTACAATGAATGGACACTTTCTGCACGTACTTTTGGTAAATCTTCAACTAGATCTATGAGAGTCGCTGGAGATGCAGTCCTCATTTTTTTTTTTTTTTTTCACTCAGCCGGCGTATCTCGTTTTCTCCGTTCTCTAGCGTTGGTGGCACAGATCAAGTGTTTCCTTGATGCGCTGGTTGCAATATGCACCTTGTTCTTGGTTGTTTTTGCCATTCTGTTTTTTTTTCGGTGTCCTCGCTAAAAAATGACACAAGACACACATACCTCTGTGAACACCAGTCGTATGCCCACACAGCCCTTGTAAATAATACTTCTTAGCAGCGCACTTTCTCCTTTCGCTGTGCCAGCAAATGTATTTTTTTTTAATCCTGCATTATAGATTATTATTACCGGAGATTTTTCCGCCTCCCCAGAAACCACCGAATCTCGTTTTAGTAAGTTGAAGCACACTTTCTTTTTTTCGATTGTTCAGAAAAAGCGGAGTCCTCAGGAGTGGGTACATGTCGCCGGGATTCTTCTAGTAGATCGCAAGGCAGCAGCAGTTGGTTGTGTTACAGGTACCTTTTTTTTTTTTTTTGGCGGCTTCATGACAAGTGCAATGGGAGATTCGGAAATAAACAAGGAACTGCATCACTCCTCAATGCTCATGCACTTTGGTCGATTTCAATTTCTTCGTTTATGATATGCTTATGTGTCTTCAGGATGTCGCTTTCTTGAAAGCGAACACCGTTCATTGCGGGTCTTTCCCATGGATACTTCCCATTTCTGCAGTAATAGTGGAATTCGTATGGCGGAGAGAATTGAGTGGCATTTCTCGGGGATTTTCCTTCCTGTCAAAAAAAAAAAAAACGTCGTTATGATGTCCGGAAGGTCTAAACTACGGCGCACGGGATAGCAGCCACAGTAGAATTAACCTCGGGAGACGTACATGCACACAAGCTCGGTGAGCCTATACACATGGTCGTTCCTGCAATGTCAACAATCGGAAAGTTTCCTACGTCGTAGAGCCTCAGTGTCCTCGTTACTGTAGCCATCGCATTGTCTTCAGAAGACTTCGGAAGCATGTCACGTGTACAGAAAGCGACGTGACACACACACAGAAAAAAAAGTGCGACCGAACACTGGCACGGAATACACGAAACTGCAGTGGCAGTGAAGCCTGGAGCCAACGGAGAGCAGCCGGTCACTTGGCGCAAAGTTAGTTACTGTATATGCTATACCCTTTTTGTTAGGTAGCATGTACAGTATCTCTACGCAAAGTTGGAGTAACCGTATATGGTCCTTACGGGAACAGAGTAGCGCAACTGTTTTCCAACGCTGCCAGCAACCATGCATTGCGGAGAATCTGACGCTCAGGCCAATTTTGTGTGTTCCGACGCCGTGGCGGCATTGGCGCGAAGCATCGCCAGTCAAGTTCGAAGCGAATCCGTCTGTTATTCACGTCTTTTCTGAACGCGAATAGTGTGCACGTGCGTCACGCAGCGCCGATTCGTCACTTCCGAAATGAGCCACCGACATGCCTGGGTACCTCCTGACTCCATGGCCGACCGCTGCCGTGTTGTTTCCTCGTGCATGCACCCGTTCAGTTTTGCCTAACGATGCAAGTTGGAGCAATTATCAGCTGCTGGTGAGGCAAGTTGATATAACAGTCCACGAAGAGCGAGCAGAGCGTCAGGGTGTTCTCTTTGCCGAAAGTTATCATCTAAAATTGAGAACGCACACTGCGATTTTCCGAAAAGCAGCGGCATGTTTGGCTGGCACAGATTAACAAAAACGACTTGAATAATCGATGATATTTGCGTCTTCAGGTGTAATGAAGTTACACCCGAAGCACGTACCTGCAAATAGAGATAGGTACTGTTCAGCGAAATTGCGTTGGGCACCATGACGAAGCGGAACGACGACGAACGCCGTGCAGGTCAGTGACGGTTGGGCAGTGCTCCTGCTTGTGACAACGGACGGCGCTGTTGAGCCCAGCAAGATGCAATGAGGACCATGTGCACATACGTAGTTATGTTGTGTGTGTACAGTGACAACTTGCATGTGCGTATTAAAACACCTCTTCTGTTCCGCTTCCTATACTCTCCCCCAGCATTGCATGTAATCTAAACGTAACAGCAACCGCGTTCAAGCGTCACTTGCACCGTGCTCAAAGTCACCACGGTCGCAGAATGCTAACGCGGGTGAGTTTCACGCGGAGCACGGACACAGTGGCCGGACGCTGTGTCGGCCGCGTGGCGGAATGCAACCGTAGAAGGCGCACGACCGATCGTGTTGTCTGTACAGTTGCTGAATTAATGACGTGAAGACACTCACTGTTGTCAGTGCATCTAGCGCGCGTTCTCTTGTACTTGCTTCGTTATCAGTGAGCTGCTGCTTGCTGTTAATACTCGGACGAAATGATTTCGCCGAAGGTGTCACGCTGGCCCAGAGTGTTGAGCCCCGTTCCATTAGTTTCGGATCGTCACGACACGCGCGCTGCGCCGCTCACGTGCTTTCCCAGCCGGAGAGAGAGTCGTGCCTTCTGCTTTACATTCGGATGTAAATAAGAGAGGACAATTTGCCCAGTCAATATGGCCGACTTCCGGCTTCATCACGGCTTCACATAGAGTGACGTCAGTACAGTGTACTAGAAGGGGACAATGGAGTGAACGAAGCAGCCGCGCCGTATCTCGGCTGATTCTCCGGCGGGTGACAGTAGCGGCGGCGCTGTAGTTCCATTGTACTGAAGATCTCAGGAGCGTCTGCATTGGGAGCGCGTGCGCGAAAGCGTGTGATTGCTCGTTTTTAGCGCGTTTAATGTGTTTCTGAGCCTTCACAAGTGTATGCACACCTGCTACGCGCCATGAGGAACGAATAAATACGCAGGCATGCCGAAATTGCGTCAAGACATTCACTGTTTCAAAAACCTACCGAGCAAAAAAAAAAAAAAAGAACACGTTAAGTAGTAATTTGAGCAGATCCGCCTAGCTTCTTACTCAAGCAGCGCTTTGAGCTACGCGACATCATTAGTGGCTACTGGTGAACTACAAAGAGAGGAGAAGTATCAATATTGCGAATAAATCATACGCTCGCTACGTCGGCAATGTCTACGATATCTAGAGCGCTGTTCCTCATATGAGCCCACATGCGCTCGAATGTTTCATGAGAAACCCGAGTATAGCTAATGTTGTCACATTTATATCGGCGACGACTCAGTTTTGTCATGTCAGGGTTGCGGAAGAAAATAAATAATGTTTTCTGAAAAGCTCGTATTGTTTAAACCGCGTGCTTTCGCGCTTACTCTGCTTCTTTTATGTAAGCTTCAAGTGCTTATAATACCGGGAGGCCGATCTACGCGAACGGGGTTATCTTGAACATAATAAAAAGTACCAATTGTATATATAGACCGTCTGTTAATCTGCGTAAATTCACTGTAACCAGTTCTCATTTTGTATTCACAGCTTAAATTGTGCTGCGATGTTTTGTATTATAAATGCAGTTCTCTTATTAAGTGTCAAAACTGTAGGCAGGCGGTGGTGCATTCTGTCATGGAAATTTAACTTGTATATATATGTACACAATAAACACACACACACACACACACACACACACCACACACACACACACACACATATATATATATATATATATATATATATATATATATATATATATATATATATATATATATATATATATATATATATATATATATATACGCAA